GATTACCACATGGATATGAAGGCTGACGGTACACCATTTTCTTCGTGGGACGAGAAGTTCGGTCCTCATGAGGTTAATGGTGAGCTATACACTACGCAAAACCAATGGAACCTTTCTGACGTCTACGTTCCTTACGTGTCTGGCGGCATCAACGTTACTGGCTATGGTCCCCTGGCCAGCGTTACAGGACCGCCAAAGTTTGCAGCAGAGAACATCGTCATCGTAACCGACGGCTACTGTGCGTCCACTTGTACCATCTTCAGCGAGTTGATGAAGCAGCAGGCGGGCGTGAAGACCATCGCTATGGGCGGTCGCAGCAACAAGAACCCCATCCAGGCCATCGGTGGCGTCAAGGGCGTCAACAACTATGCATTCGGCTTTATCCAGCAGACCGTACAATACGCCGTCAAGTTCGACCCTTCGCTCAACGAATCCATTTTGGTAGACGACTACTACAGCGACATCGTCTTCTCCCGTGCCGTCAGTGGAGCCGGAGGCGTCAACACCCGAGACGGTCTTCGTGCGAACGATACTTCAGGTGTGGCGCTGCAGTTCCAGTACGAGGAGGCTGACTGCCGTCTCTACTACACACCGGAGATGACAGTTGATATCACGGCGCTGTGGAAGTCAGCTGCTGATGCTCAGTGGAAGAACAGCGGCAAGTGCATTGGTAGCAGCCCTTACGGCGGTGATGGGAAGCGTGCTGCTATCCCCAAGATCAGCAGGGTTACGACGAAGCTAAGCCCGCCTGTTGCGAGAGTCAAGGTCGCGAAGGTGGAGGCGATGAAGAGGGTCAAGGCGTTTGAGCAGACTTTTAGCTTGGAGACCAAGTGTGGGCTCAAGGGAAATGGGTTCATGGAGCCGTAAGCGTCGTCTTGTTACTACGAAGGAAGTCATGATTCGATTATCTCTTTTCTCTATCTCTCTCTTAACCAAGCGTGGAGTTTACGGCGCCCTGGATCTCAAAAGGAAAAAAGGTCGTCTTTGTTTGCATTAGGGATTAATGTGTATTGATTGGGCAAAAGGGTAGTAGTGAGTATGGTATATAGCTTATTAGACACTACGCACGAGTGGCGCATCATTAAAATACCCCTATGGTTTGATCGTTGTATTTCTTCTCTGGTCGAAGTTGTTGTGATGAAGTTTGAGGTGTCTCAACTCGATATTGCGCATAGATGATGTGCTTGCAATCGTTATACCGTGGTGACGGACCGTTGCTCGACATAGCGTCGTAAAGACCATTTTTGAAAAAAGAAGAGCAGACGTCAGGTAGTCGGGGTGGGCAGGATGTGTGGTGTTTAGAAACCATGGTCTCTGCAACCCCAGTCTCGATCATGATGTGTTTCTTGAAGGGTTTAGAATGCGACACATCGCCGCAAACATGTGTTCGTTGCAGGCTCCTTTTGGCCCTGAATATTGGGCGATAAGCGAGACATTGCAGTTTATACTGGAAGATTTATGATAGTGGCTAAGGAGTTGCGATAGTTCGTGTTAGACATGCTCCGGTCCATATTGCAGTTTTTGGAAAACGGGACAGAGTTTCTCCCACATGAGATAGGCGTCCTAAAAATTTTTGAGAAAAGAAGCAAATCATAGCGCTCATCAAAGCTTGTTTTTGGTACGCATAGTGGAGGCGTGTGGATGAGGAGAGATGGAGGCGGAAGAGGAGGCTTTATATGTCGCTTGTGTGGTGCACTTGGCAGTCGACATAGACATCCCACGCGGATGTTTGAGAGAAGTGCTCGGCATCAGAATATGCGATCTGATATTCTGGTGTCTCCCGCACGTGCGATATGTGTTTGGAGCTTTTGGGAGCAAAGAAGAACATGCAGGTAGAATCTAAAGGTTTCGGTTTTTGTAAAGGAGAAGTCGTTGTACAAGGACAGAGGGAACATCGGAGACCGTGGAGATGTTATATACTATGAGATCGAAGGGCCGAAAGGTGGTCATGGCCAATGCTTGCCGTAGTTTTAGAAGAACGTCTCGGCATCATGTACGAAAATACTGCTGTTCTGATCGCGTCTCGCACATGTTCTGGTTTTTACTGAATTTTGAAGTGCAGAAGGAGGGACATATATATACTCCGGCAGGAGTATTTTGGTTTCCCAAGAAAAACAAAGTCTGTTGGAAGGAAGGAGAGAAAGCGGCCGGAAGGAGTGGTTTTATACACTGCACGTGTGGCTGGCGTCAGAGCGGACACTCATAATAAAGTGAGAGGATTAATCTTTTTCAAGAATTGCTCGGTACCATGGCGAAGGAATATCCTTTCGTGTCTCGCACATGTACTCGTCTTTTTTATGTTTTAAGGCAGAGACGAAGGCCATGGCCGGTCTCTTCCAAGTTTTGGATTTGGGACAAGGAGATTAGTGTATGATGGAGAGAGACGTATTGCAGAAGGAAGTCCTTATATAGAGTGAGCTAGTATCGCTCGCCACAAATATCAGGAGCTCTTGACACTATCATGACAGGGTTGGCCCGCTGTAATCTTTGATTTCCCAGACTTTAGTCTCTTACATGGATAGTATATGTCGGAACTTTCGATCGAAGAGGGAACAAACATTGTACATAGGATGCGTTCATGTATCTCTCATAGCAGTGATCTTCGTAAGTTTCAAAGACGAGGAAGAAGACATGTCTACTACCAGCATGGTTTTTGTAGTCCGTTGGCAGAAACCATTCACTTTCTGTCTTTTTGTTTTGGAGAAAAGAAGATAATAAGATTGTTTTTGGAAGAGAGAATGGTTATGATAGGAAACAGACACCTTTTATATGTCGTCTGAGTGAGCGTAGTAAGCACATGGTCGCGATTTCAGCCTTTTGGACCTCTCTCGAAGCACGAAATTCGACGCAGAAGAAATTCACATGGAAGCGAACCAAGGTTTTTCGTGTATCAACGAGTTCGACAGAGTCACCTAGTCGACAATGCTGGCCTTCTCGATATATGTGAAAAACGTATTATGATTGATATTTCCCAGGACTTATGTTCTAACACAAACCGAGAAAAGATTTCCTCGACGGCCTACTCCCCACCGAACCTACGCCGTCTTTCCCCCCTTGTCAGCTTTTACATACTCCACAGCCCACTCGAGCGACTTCTTCCACCCCTGTCTATTTGTAAACAGTGGCCTGTATCCCAACCTCGTCTTAATCTTATCTATACAAAGCGTCCGCTCCATCGTCAAGAGACGAATTACCCATGGAGTAAGCTTGGGCTGCCTGTGGCCAAGCGAAAAGACCCAATAAAGCCAAGAGGCCATCCACGCCAGCATACTAACAAGCCAAATCGGGATACACTTTACTTGATCATCCTTGACGGGTGTCCCGAGGAGCTCGGAAACGATTCTAGCGATGTTCCAAAAAGGAATGTGCTCGTCGTTTGTGACGAAGAAGGCTTCCCCTTCGATCTTCTTGTCTGCGGACAATGGCGCCGAAGAAGAAGCATCAAGCAGCGCTTTCACAAGTAGCAGTTGCGCATAAGTGCAGTTCTCTACGTAGCACGTGTCGTAGAGGTAGGACTGGTGTCCGAACTGGATGTTAGCGCGACCACTGAGCGCTTGCTGCGTGACGTTGGTAGTCATGATGCTGTCACCAGCACCGTACAGTGCAGCCGGTCGGACTACAGCAGTCAGCAGACCATTCTCGCGGTTCGCAGCTAGCACCATCTTCTCTGCGAGAGCTTTAGTGTGCGAGTAGTATTCGGGTTGGTTGGGATGCAAGAGCACGGGCTGGTCCTCGGTTGCTTCGACCATGGGCGAGCGCTGGTTGTGCACCACGGAGGAGCTAGATGTGTATACTAGTGCGCGAACGGTGCCGGCAGCTTTAGTGCATTCGAGTATGTTTTGTGTCCCGACTACGTTGACTTGTTCTAACAGTGCATGATTGACTTCGAAGGGGTAGGGCGAGATCGTGTGCAGCACCACTTGAGGTTGCACGTCTTGGAATATTTGGGCCAACTTGTCGCGTTGGAGGATGTCGGCTGTGAAATAGGTCGCCGATGCGTTTCGATTGCGCTCAGTGTTTGCGTCGACGACGACAATCTGGGGGGTTGGGCTTGCGCGAGCAAATTCTCGGACGAGATGGTGTCCTAAGAAGCCGCAACCGCCAAGTATGAGGACCGGGCCTTCAATTTTCATGGTGCTCATATTTAGGAACTTTTGCGAGCGAGAACGACGCAGAGATCCTTTGTTTCGTAGTCGTAGAATACGTAGGTTTGTCGTAATGTCCAACCCTGAGTCTTAAAGATGTGAGTGAAGGTAAGTGAAGAAGAACGAAAGAAGACACAGTCTTAAATCACGACATCAATACGGTAGAATCCTGCCAGGCAGCAGCTTTCAAAGACGTTATCACAAAAAGATGTAAAGCAGCAAAACAGTTCCTGCGTGTGCCGCATTCCCGCATCACAGCCAATCACATCATGCAGTGCCGCAATCCCCCAGCCTCCTCCCACGCGTAACGATCAAGGACCACTGTCAAAGTAAGTCTTTGCTGCAAACAATGCAGATAGTATAAGGATAATCATACGTATAATAAAGTGCTAAACAATTAAGCTATTGCTAGCTGCACTCTTTGCACAATTTACGCCTGTGCAGCTTCCAAGAATACCTAGGCAGCGGAGTATATCAAGACGACCTTTTGATTAAAGCAGATAGATAGGTAGCGCAGTACCTGAACCTTGCATCCGCACCACACATACTCTGTACTTACCCGTAATCGCGGACGAACAAACCCAAAAGGCCCATGGCGCATATTGGACCCTGGTGTTCAAGCCACAGACACAGGCTAAATGCACACGCAGCAAAGACCCCGCGAATACGCAGCAGAAACATTTCACATGGAAGCGAATCAAGGTTTTCTAAAGAAAGGCAACAGTTTCCGCAGTCTACACATGAACTACCGCCTCAAATCTACTCCTCCAAAACTCGCTACCTTCTACATTATAAACGAGCCTCGTAGAGCAGTCTACTTTGCCGTCCAGATACTACGGTAACCCCTCCGCTAATTTAAATACACAAACAAGAATTGTAGGTTCCTGCATCTACCTTTGCATCCACCTTTGCATCTACCCTTGCGCCGTGGGCAATCATGAACTCGACTATAGAGATGTTTTCGTACTTGATTGCTTCCTGGACGGGCTTGCCATCATTGATTGAGACGCCATTTTCGAGGAGTATGGTGATGATGTTCCGGCAAAGATGTCTAGCAGCCAACTTCATACCATATCTGCCATGTCTCTGCAGTAAGACGCAGTCTTGGGCAATGAGGTACTGAAGAATGTCTTCCTGGCCAAACCTGCAACAGTACCAAAAGGCTGACTTTAGATAGTGATCTTTTAGTGCATGGAAAGCCTTGGGGTTAATGCTCGTTATCGTAGATATAGTAGCCTGGAATGTCTTGACGCAACCAGTCCTGACAGCATTCTTGATCCATTCGTCACCCTGTTCTGGGCTATAGCTGTCATAGTAGAAGCCGAAAGACATCTTGTACTTTTGAGCGAAATCTGCAAGAGTTTGGATCGTCAGACAGTGTTTTGAGCGAATGGCCAGACAGAAGATGGAGTGGAGTCGACGGTTCAACTGCTGCAGCTCATGTTGCGGAGAGCCTCGAGGTAGTCCAGATTTTTGGTTCACCAAAGGCCGGAGTTTGTTCAGTAGATGCTGCAGGACTTTAACATGTCCGTTAGATGCTGCTGCTCCGATAGCGTCTGAGAGACCACCCTGGTTGTAGTTCCAATTGAGATATTCGGACGAAGGCCAGCTCTTTACATATTTTCTCAGTAGATGCTTGACCGCTACGAGGCTGCCTACTGCAGCGGCACTTGTCAAATTGGCCACTCTCTGAGAAGGACGCTGTATATGATCAGAGGAGTTTGGGTGAATCGCCAGTGAATACGTCGCGTGGCTTTCCCCTCGAGTCGTGTACCGGATGATATCTTGGAGGTATCGAGTCTTCCTCTCGTCGTCAGAGGACTTACCCTCGATCCCGAGGACAGTATCAGCACATTTATCGATAAAAGTGACCAAGGGTTCATTCTTCCTCTTCCGAACTGCGCTTCCGAGGTAGTCGGCGGATATGTTGGTAAAGACGTCTTTTCTATGGCTACCGGCATCCTTAAAACTCTCCTTGGATACATGATGAATGATCTGGTAGCTTATAGCTTGGTCAAATACCCCTACAAGGTATTAGCAAACAATAATTGTGTTTCTCGTGATCAACTTACTTGAGACTGCACGAGTAGCAGAGGCATCATTAACGGGAACACTGTGTACGTAATGCGCAATGACGTTGTCAAACAGCTCCTCCGGAAGGTCCATTAGCCGGAATTTAGAGGTCATAGTTCCTGTTAGAGATACCGAATTGGATAAAGACGCCGCTGTTGATCGTGTGACCGTTCAGGTAAATTGGTAGCTAAGTGTGGAAGAGTGAGCCGATGTTGATTGCTTAGGAGACACTGGGGTAATGGAAGGAGACAGTTGAGAATTAGATTTTGGAGTTGAAATAGGGCGTTGAGAAACAAGTGTGCACTGAAGCTGTTGATTCACGCAGTGGAAGCTACGTCTTGTAAAAGGACAACAGCAACTCTTGTGAATCTTTTGAGAAACTCCCCTCCAAGTTCATTTCACTTCGTCCCCTTGTACCTTAACGATGTAGAGCAGCTGAGTCAAGTCCGACTTCCCCGATTCTCAAATCAATACTATCTCTCTGATAGGAGAATCGCCAGGGAATGTGTTCGCAGGTACAACTTTCATGATTAGATGAGTATGTTGACTTCAACTATAGCAATGCGAGACTTTAAATATGAATTTGGTGGATACCGGGAATCGTGCACAGAGCCATCGATGGGTCATGACTTCGTCAACGCACCTAGGTGCCTAACGAAGATGACCGAGCATATCGAGGCGTTGAAAGAACATGTGTGATAGCAGATTCATCAAAAGAGGTTACCGAAGGAGGCGAAACGAAAGACGTACTGCAGTACGCTGCTAGCATGCGCTCGCTTTACTCAAACCCGAGCCTTCAGCGACGCGACACCCATCGTCTTCCATAGTTTCCTCGTACAGACGACATATACTTGAGAAGATAGTCAGCTTTTCATTAGTAGCCGAGGCTCGACTTTTGCCCACCAACTTGACATGAGTAACCTCACATCCCCTTCTGCCCCCACCAAGCCTCCGCCTCCTCCGCCTTCCACCCATCATACTCCCCCGCCGCCCTCTCCACAACCGCCTGCTCAGCAGCAGCTTGCCACGTCTTCGCCAAATGACCATTCTTGAGATCCTCCTGGAACTTGGCGACGTCTGTCCGGAAGCAGTTGTTTGCTAGTGTAAACGCTGCTGGTCGCGTATCTGCCGTTTCTCCAGCAGAGATTTTGGCGAGGAGGTTGACGTTGTCGGGAGATTCGGGGAGCATGGAGATGAGAGTGGATTGTTGGGATGCGGTAAGAGAGTTCCAGGCTGGGCTTTCAAGAAGCATGTGCTGGGATGTGTCAGAGATATGTTGTGTGAGAAGATGGCAGATTGAGGGCAGACTTACGTAAACATCGGCTTTGACGAGGCGGCTGGAGGAATTGGTGGTTATATAGACAGGATCAAAAACCTTACTGGCGCCCTTTTTGGCAGGAAGAGCTTTGGAAGTAGTCTTCTCCCCAAGATCCTCGAAGCGCTCTGGTGCTCTGCGGGTTCGTGATGGGCGCGAGCTGGGTAGTAGTGGTGGTGCGGCTGTAGGCTTCTGCGCGGGGGTATTCTTCAGCTTCGTCGGTTTCTTTGTAGCGGTCTTGCTGCTTGCTGGTCTCTTTGCCTTCCTGGCTGGTCTCTTGGGTGGTGGTGTGCCGAAGGCCTCTTCTTCTTCTTCGCCATCCTCCTCTTCGCGTGCTCGCTTTGGGCTCTGCTTGGGTGCGCGTTTAGCGCCCATGTTGGATGTTGGCGCGGTCATTGATTCAGGCGCAGACATAGATGCCAGCGCCTGCTGAGTCTGAGGTAGAAAGTCATTGGTTGCTATGTTGGACGAGCTGTTCTCTATGCTCGGAATGGCAGTGTCCGCGGTCTGGCTTGGCAGATTTGGGGCAACAGGCGAGGTCTGCTCAAAAGGATATGAGGGAGCTGAAGAGAGAGATGATGAGTTTGGTATGGAATGAGACATCTTTGCTCTTTTGTTTGGTATTTCGGGATCTGGTGGTATAGTAGTTCGTTCTTGCCCCAACTCGGACGTGTTTTCTATGGGTGAAGTAGTTGTTAATTGCGAGTCGTGTGCAGAGTCGAGCTGAGTGGCGGACGACGGTCTGTTCTTGTTAATTAGGTTTGGGAGAGACGAAATTCAGGCTGCCAAATCTTGCTGGGTTTTCGATTGTGGGGGTAGTGAAGGTGAAGGTTGTATTAGGGATTGGAAGAAACGGTTCAGGACATTGTGAAGAAATGGTACGTACCTCACCGGTAACGACATGATTGTGATTCGGTTCAGATAGAGGCTTGGTGTTGGACTTGAGCAGGTACCGTCTCAGAAAGCGTCGCTAGCGCGTACGATTAGATTATCATGAATGGCAGGCGCAAGTCCGAGGACAGCGAGCTGCTTGCATCAGGGCTGAAAGTGTGCCCGCCACTCAATGATTGGGGTGAAGGTGCGAGAAGAGTACGCGAGCGCAATGGCGCGATTCGGCATGGTGGCTGGGGCGTTGAGTTGAGGTTGTACCAAACGTTCTGTATTGACGATGCCAACATCAATCAACTTGTGCTATCTCACTGGATCCGTGACTCGGATTGGAGAGTCATTCAAAGTCATGGATGACAGAGCCTTGGAGGTCACGGCATGCTTGGTCGCTGTGTGAATGGCGTTGGTGAGTCCGTGCGCTCTTCCGCGACCCTTTCCGCATCGTCATCTTCTGCGATCTGGTATCATCAACACCAACACGTAGCCTTTCCTGCGCAATCCCACAACTGCAGGCCTAAGTTGATAATACTGTCCCAAACCGGCGATACTCTACCACTACCGGGCATCGTTTTACCCCCACAAGCGCCACCATGATCAAGCACACGATGATATCCCGGCTTGATGGTCAGTAACTCTGCAGTATTCTAGGGTCCAGAAGCGCTGACAGAGGTCCAGGCCTACTACTCACAGCCTCAGTCGACGATGAACAGGTACTGCCGCCTCCAAGAATGCGCGTATCCTGTTTCAAGAAACTTACAATTCCCAGAACGACGCCGAGTTCAATGAGGTCAAGGCCAAGGTCAAGCTTGTCCAGCGCCGTCTAAGCCGTAACGCTGAGCAACAAGCGAGCATAGAGAGCGGAAACTACACATATCACTACATAATCGAAGGCGACCTTTGCTTCCTCTGCATATGCGACAGGTCCTACCCGCGCAAACTCGCCTTCACATACCTCTCCGATCTCCACCGCGAATTCACCACTACATACCAACCGCATCAGTATCTCTCGCCAACATGCCGGCCCTACGCCTTTGTCGAGTTCGACACCTTTATCCAGCGCTCAAAGAAGACATACCAAGACGCGAGAGCGACACAGAATCTAGACAAGCTGAACGATGAGCTCAAGGACGTCACAAAGGTCATGACCAAGAACATTGAGGATCTGCTGTACCGTGGGGACAGTCTGGAGAGGATGGGTGATATTTCGAGTCGGTTGCGCGAAGATAGTAGGAAGTACAAGAAGGCTGCTGTGCGCATCAATTGGGAGCTGTTGCTAAAACAGGTCAGTCGTGGACAGCAATACAGACACGTCAAGATTGTGAAATGCTAATAACGCGCAGTACGGACCCATCGGCGGATTGGCTTTCATAATCATCGTCTTCATCTGGTGGAGATTCTTCTAGGGGTATGCATGCAGCGAGTCGGTGCTTTCAGTTTGTATCCAGGGGCGTGACTCTGGGTACTGTCGGCGTTGGAGGCGCAAACATCGCCCGGGGACGGCGACAGACGTACATCAATACCCAAGCTTCAGCTTTTCGTGTACAACTCTACACATGCATCGCATTTAGTCCTACCGTGACTATTTCCCTTATTGGGTGGACAAGGATACCCTTCTAGTGACCCCTGGCGTTTGCGAGTCGTGATTGGCTGTAGGCTCATCGTGAATACCACCCCTCGCTAACGCTTTAGTTCATGTCCGCCCCACTCCACACTATCAATTTCGATCAAGACCTTGGAACTCCAACAATCCGATATCGACCTCAGTAGAAGTATTCTTACGGGACGTAAACGAACGAAAACTACGCAATGAACCAACCAATTTACACCATGTGACGAACCGATCCTCGTGCACGCACGTGCAGATATCCATACTACAACCAACCGAGCATCAACGACCGAAGCACATCCTATGTGAGGACCAAGGAAGAAGATTAAGCCATGGAGACCCAACAGTGTCCTCAATGGAGCATTCAGCTCGATGCTTCCAGCTTTCGTCTGTCAAGACCAGAGCCAGCTTTTCTGATATCATGACGCCATTCATGCCATGCCGCATGGCGACGGTCAACACCAGTTTCATGGAGGAATCAGAAACAAAGACATGTGAACACAACTTCTGCTAGCAAGAACATGCCATCCGATGGAAGGTATATGGATTTCGAGGATAGAATTGAGGCCAGCGTCCCGGGAAACATATGCTCAGCCCTTGTGGGAAAGATTGGGAAGATTGCTGTAGTACCCGGCAGCACAAAGCCATGGCTCTGACTGTGCTCACCTTCACAAACACGTCTTACCGTCGTCTGCTCCGCCTAGATTTCGATTCGAACTCGACAACAATACGGTGAGGACACATAAGCGCTATGCCTCCAACATACACGTCAAGACCATGTCAGCCCGGGCGTATCTAGGCGTCCAGCACGACATCGTAGTCGCTATGCTGACTGGCTCCCACAACACCATGCTTAGTAATCACTGACCGCTTGCCTCCTTCCTAACTCACAGTAACCATCCAGGCAATGTTGAGCTTGAACTGCGCATAACCTACCTGAAAAGGTTCGATCAGTCACGGGGAGATACGAGTGGACCAACGCTCGACCAGTCACCCGTTATAAGTCTCAAGATAACCAACAATCCTCCTACGAGAATCATCGAATACGACTCACGCATCTCTCCTCGACCGACATACCTTATCTATCCCACCTCTCAACCTCGCCGCAATACTCCCACCCGTCCGCACCATGTCTAAGAAGCCTGAACTCGTACTTATTCCAGGCGCCTGGCACACACCCTCCCACTTTAACCCTCTAATCACCAAACTACGCGCTCTAGGTTACACAACGCACTCCGCTCAACTAGCATCCGTTGGCAATCCCGATCCCCCAGCCGACCTCACAGAAGACATCGCCATTGTACGCGCACTCGTACTCAATGCCATTGGCGATTCAGGAAACGACGTCGTCGTCCTAGCACACAGTTGGGGTGGTATCATCGCCGGGTGTGCGTTAGTTGGGCTAGGCAAGAAAGAGCGGGAAGCACAAGGACTAAGCGGTGGAGTGATGAGAACGGGGTATATGGCAGCGTATATTTTGGACGAGGGGATCTGTTTGCAGGATGCCATTCACCACTTTATTCCCGAGTGGGTGGACGTCCAGGAGCCATATGTTTATGCAAAAGTTGCAAACATCTTCTATGGTGACCTGCCCGAGGACGAGGGACAATACTGGTTCGAGCAAATCAAGTCGCAGGCTGTAGCTTCGTTCTATGCGCCTGCTACCGGTGCGGCTTGGAAGGAGATACCGACTAACTACCTACTATGCGAAGACGATGAGTGTGTTCCGCCGCAGGTTCAGGAGGGCATGGTTAATGGGGTGAAAGAGGCGGCTGGAGAGATCGAGGTCACGAGGCTGAAGAGTGGACATAGTCCGTTTTTGAGTCGGGCTGAGGAGACAGTGGTCTGGGTTCAGAGGGTCGCTGGTGATGCTGTTTAGTTTGGGGGAAAAAAGGACGAGGGAGATGAATGGGCATGAAGATGGCGATGAGAGTGCTGAGATGGTGTCGACTTTGGGGCCATACGGACAAGACCTCCTTTTCTACGGACCGAGACCAACATCACTCCCAGATTGATACGAAACGAGACGGTTCAGTACGCGATTCTCATTCTGTTTTTGACAGTATGATCAAATAGAGGGACAAACCCGGGGCGAACATAACGACTACTATGGAAAGCGAGATCAAATCCAAGTCTCTTCGAGTCAAATGTTTGCGTACCAAAATAACGTATAGACATGTGACCAACACCCAACGTATACGTCAACGGTTGACCAAGTAACGCAATCTCGCACAATATTGTCAAGAGACAGCACGACAAACGAACGTTCTCCATCACGCCACTTCTACGTAACCCACGCATTCTCGCTGCTTTAATCGTATTCTGCAATACCACAAATATTCCCAACAAACAAGATTGTGAAACGGATAACCTGGGCCATCCAATATTGCTATTCCCGGCGTCTAGGAAACTTTAACTCGCACAAAAACATGTGTTATATCTATCACATGTCTGACTCGCGGCAAAAGTACACTCCGAAATCGAGATCTAGAACGTGAAATGCTTGCTTGCTTGCCTGCTTGCCTGCTTGCGGTTCCGATACTGAGGAAACTTTACCCAACGAACGAAACGAAACGAAACGAGACGAGACGAACGCCTGGGGGCCGCCAACTGAACGGGGAACTAAGAAAGAGGAAGAAGAGACCGAAAAACTGCCATAATCTCGATGGCTGGGGGAAATGTAAGCACTAGATAAGCTTGGTTCTCAGCTTCCCTTTCCCCCCATTCATCGGCGGGAGCACCGATCCAGGATTTGTTTGGTGTTAATCTCCCGCCCATTCACCCGTCCATCGGTTTGGAATGGTGTTTGTTACAGCTGCCGTATGTTTTTTCCCCTACGACTTGCCGTGATGGACTTCCTATGCAGATTGAAATTCTAGTT